TTCCTTTATACGGTAGTACTACAAGGACTACATACAGGTAGATCGGCGTCAACTAGATTATTGGAATATAAAAATTTGGCTAGACTCAATAATTAATGCTGCTAAGTTAAATAACCGAGAAAAAAAGCTCAGCGATTGCACTGCGTTCACTTGCATGTAATCACAAGTGGACAAGTATTTCATTCTCCATTGTACAACAGCCGCCTTCATCCCATAATGTAGGACAGATGGTCAAAAAGGACTAGCGATAAGGAACCCTGGCAACGAACCAACAAAGAACTTATTGCCCAAAGAATACGTAGATGGCAATGAATTGGACATATGCTGAGGAGACTATTGAGTGACACTGTGTGCCAGTCCCTCAAGTGGAATCCGGATGAGTGGTGGATGACGAGTTAGGCGTCCGAGGGTGACATGAAGGAAATCATATGAGGAGGAAATGAAAGTTTACGGGTAATCGTGGAGCCAGCTGGAAAAGATTGCAGAGAACCGAGTGTAATGGGGATGTGCTGCTAAAGTTTTATGTTCCACTCGGAAACCAAGGGAATGACGATGATATAGTTGGGATCACTGGGACGTATTTCTGTATATTATATAAAGGTAGTAACTGTCAGTTAAAAATGTTTTATATGCTGTAGATATATATATTGTGATATAAGGCTAATTGAATGTTATATAATGTCAGTAATGGACAGTAACTAAATTATATTACCATGTGGTCATGCCAGAGTAAGCTGCAAAATATTTTTTTATTTAGTAATTACATGCATGAGATACCTTTTGTGCAAGAGAGGAAAACACTGATTGGTCACCATGTTTTTCATGCGTAAATAGAAGCTCTTTAATTCTTTGTAAAACAAGCTAGAAGATTATACAGATTATTGCCGAGTAATTGATTAATGTTAGTGGTGACCTGATATTTACTAAATATACTAACCTTTTACCTTTCATTAACCTCCAGTCTCTGCCTAGAAAATGAACGACCAGAGCCTGGGCAAGTAGCATCTGTCCACAACGGAACATACATCCCCACCCACAATCAGATGTTTGAACAGAAAGAGGTATAAAAGAATTTGAGGTTTTTATAGATGTCGACTCAACACCATATGTAGATAGTGGGACAAAGTGATGGTCTTTGCTTTTTACTGCTATAAGTAAACATAGAATTAAATGACTGGAACATACTTGTTTTAGCTTTAAGAGGATCAGCATCAGTTTGAGTAGCTTCACAGTAGCACGAAGATGGTCTCCTGATAAAAATACTCGATAGAGAGTTAGGTAAGTTTGCAGCATAGGCATTATGGTTGTTTGAAGAATTCTTCAATAGTGGAGGAAAGCTGTCACGATAAGTGAACCATAGCCTACTTGCGAAGTCTTCAGTAAAGTCTGAGAAATTCCCACCCCAAACTATGTCCTTTGGAGCGTTTAAATGATTATCTAAAGCATATAAAGAAAAAGTTTAGTTAATTTTAATATTTACTGTCAAGTAAAGATGACTTGAGAATTCACTAATTTTCTGACAACTAAAACATCCTAGTGTCCTAACTATCAGTTATAAAAACTTGGAATATTAGAAAGCATGCACATGTGAAAGAAAGACTTAAAGTAAAACGTACATATATCAGAGGTTTTTGATCGAATGACAGAACTCAAACATTTTCAAAAAACGGCTGCACATCTGTTGGAATAATGTAGAATAATCATTCGTCTGAGATTGCAAAGTTGAATAAATGCCGAACAGTAGTGAAGATATCTAAAACATTCTTCATATATGCAGTAGAACGTCGAAGGTACTGGTCCGCAAAATGTCAAAAAGTACCACCAACTGACACTTGGAGGAATTCCATTAGGTTTATTGATTTTAGTTAATTTTAAACACGTCATTTTGTAAGTTGGTCAGGAAGTGACGAATTAAGAACGACAAATGCAAACACGTTACCCACACCATAATTCCATGGTGATGGATAGTGACGTTCATTACATATATCGAAGTGACTGAAAAAACAATTGGTCAGTGAAAGGTACCTGAATTGTACACAAGGTACTTTAAGTTCAATGAAACTTAATCTAAAATGACATGTCGTTATCATGTCCATCTGAATCGTTTCATCCTAAGTTCTAAACAACATTCACAACTTTCATTATAGTTGAAAAAAGTATATCAACGCCTTGATTATATTGAGTGATGCGTCAGAGTAACCTAATCCGAGGCAAGTTGAAGTCTACACCAGATTTGAATCCAGTTATGTACATACTTATCTAGATTTTGTCGTTGACCCATTTGTTTTTGAGGCGATAAAATAAGTTTCATGAACTGTACTGTCTTGACGTACGCGTATGAGAAGCGATTTCTTTGCTAAGATGAGTTTTGGTTCTAGGTGTCTTTCCAGAAATACTACAGACCGACACTATGTGTTCCAACATTAAAGCAACATTTATATTGTTAAATTTATGTCATGATGTTGGGTGGAAGATAGAAAGCTTGAATGAGAGAAATTATTTTTGTATAGCATTAAAAGCCAGCTTCTTAAAAGTAAGTGAGTCAGAGCAAAACAAACACACGCAGGCCTTCAACAACAATCAGTCGCTGATCTAGGTGAAGTCAATAAAGCAGGAAATCAGTACATGCACTGCGTGAATGCTAAGACACATACGCATTGCACTTATCGTGAAAACTAAGTCGTTCTCGCTATTAACTGATATCCCACTTTATCATACATGGAAACAACAAGTATCTGTCTGCACCACAAATAGTTCAGAGGTTGAATAAACCTAGTGATTCTTGTGAACGTCCCTTTGAAGGTTACTGGATATTCTGAACACTATAGCTAAACCTCACAAAACCGAGATGAAAATCAATATTAGTATCTGTTGGGTTCATGTTAGTTCATTTCTTAAACACAAGACTAGCATTTTCACTTCCGAAATGAACATCTAAGAACTTTCTACTTGCGTCATTTCGGAGCTATTATTTCAAAACAATACGTGATTAGTACACGCTTAAATGAAACACAAGCAATAACTTTCTTAACGACAGCCGGGAGTGAACATGTTCCTATTGTATTTCTTTGACGTGTCATCATATTATTGCTTCTTTCATTGTTTACGACAGGGGAATTGCAGGAACGAAATCACCAAAAATGATGGTCGTTATCAATTTAGCACCCGGTTCTTGAGACATCACCTTAGTGCGTTCTTTCTCTGAACCAAAATACTTTGAATTATGATGGTTAATTCTTCCGCAAATCTGTTTTCCGTTACCAAATAAGTGACGAAAATCAAGATATAGACCATGTTAATTTAGTGGGGCATTAGAAGCCTGACTATTGCATCACATTAGCTTTAACCTAAAGCAGATAGTAAAAGGAAGCCGAAAAACGCATGGAAGTAATTATATTCCCAAGACAAAATGTAGAGCAAACGTTTATGTTGGAGACTAAGAGTATTGGAGATGTGACTGAGCGGATGGAAGTAGTTTTGTACAGCAATAAACTACATAAAGCCAGAAAAATTCTTCCAGCTTATGTCCATGAGATAACGTAACATCTAAGTAAGCGAGTCGTATGCATACAAGATGACAAAACAGGTGTCAACGATAAAGAACTTCCATACCATGTATATATATATATATATAATTTCATTTATTTAAGCACAAAACACTAGGTATAATATGGTACCAAGAAGATGCATCATACAATAACAATAAAACAACATAGATTAAAAGTAAAAAATATAAGTGGAGAACGGATGAAGAACTTCATCTGGAAGGAAAAGTCATATTTAACAAGTTCAAACAGCATTCGTCAACTATAGTAGGGAAGGGAAGAAAGAAGGAAATTGCAGCACGCTCGCCATTGATTACCATTCTTGGCCATATCCGATAACGTCTAGAGACGCCGATTCGTGCTATCTCTCGGACTACAACCATGAAGTCGTGACGCACCAACCGATGCTAACCTAACACAAATATCCTTCATACCACGACGCCACATCACGGCCCGACCACCTCTCCACCTTTTTCATCCCGTCCCAGGGCTAGAGAACAGAGACCGGTATGGAAGCCTCTGGGATGACATTCGTAGCACGTATCCAGGCCACCGAAGCCGGTATTCCCAGATGGCAACATTCAGACAATGGTGACCCCCACTGTGTCCAAACACACGCCACCGAACCTCAGAATTACTCACGCGATGATGTCATCGGACACAAGCAATCCTACCGGGACAACGATGATTGAATACTCAGAGTCGCCGCATATCCTCAGATCGGAAAGGCTAGGTTTCACGGGCGTAGAGCGAGACAGCTCACACCGAAGCATTGGATATCCGACCTTTTATAGCCAGGCTAACGTGACGACAGAGCTAGAGGTGGCTCAAGTTGACTGTACCACCCTAGGTTCCATGATACGGTTGGAAATCTCGTCCGTCACCCTCTCGCCAGCACTCACACAACTATCCTCATACACAAACTTATCAACAACCTTAAGCGGTTCACCTGTAAGAGTGAGTGCAGGTACTGGCTCCTGCTCAATATATATATATATATATATATATATATATAATACGCACACCAACCTGGAGAAGTGTCGAAGTAGCACCGACCCAGCATGTATATAATACTGTTGCGGTCAAAATTAGGCCATAACTGTACGGACCAACCAAATTTCAGTTGATTCCATGCGGAACGTATGTGATCAAGTGTTGTGAAGCTAGATCGAGTAACTGAGACCGAACTTCTTCTTCGAACATTTTTGTTACGTGAGAAAATTGAGTTCTCCTTACAGTGGTTCATCCTCCCAGTTAATGAGTATTTGGCGTAAAGATAGACTATTTCTAAAAATGCTAGTGGAGATAGACATCCCAGAATTTATCTTAAATTTTCCTTAAAATTCTGTAAACAAAAGTGAAACCAAACATTATGCAATAATGATGTTAAGGTGCTGACAAAAAATCAGAAAGAAAATGAGCGGTTTAGTAATTTATTGAGTAATACACGTAACTTTATTCATACAAATTTCTATTCCCAGGCACAATAGGAGAAGTTAGTAAACCTCTAGTAACAACTTTTTGAGGTGGTGACATGTTAGGTACGGGCACTCCCTTTTCCAAGTGATACTGCTTGGACAAGTCCACCAAGGCCTATGGAAATAAGTGATTAAAGCTGTGACCTACTGAAAATGTTCGTGGTTCATAGATAGATAAGATCTGAAGCATGTTCTTATTTAGGGCAACATTTGACTGAGCTAGGCCTTCACAAAGCGCTTTAGCACTCGGCAAACCACACTGTTCACTTGCTATTTCTAATCGTTCCATCCACAGAGATTTCATATCTTCCCTTCGAACCCGCCTTACATCCTTGACGTATTGCAGGGCTTTTATGACACGAGTAGTGCCTAATTTAGGACATCGAGCAGCCCTTCCTTTGAATAACTTAAAATGTATATCATATATTGAGACATCTTACAAATGCGAACTTCATTAGCTGATTTCTGCGGAACCAACTGTCACATGGCATAAATGGAACAACTTTCCTAACGTAAAGCACATCCGTCAGCTTCATTTTAGCAAATGTGTGATATCACTTAGATTTGTTTACACTTAGTTCTCCCAAGTCACCAGCACAGCTTCCTAGAAATGGAATGGCAAGTCTCTATTTTAGAGACTACAGTGGAGTAACAGAAGCCAGTAGAAAACACTTGCTGAAATGGAAGCAACCTTGAATGTCCTTCAATACAAACGTGCCTCCGTTTTGTACACAACCTCCAATATCATCCTTGGGAGCTACTGTGAACTAAGATCTTTTCTTTGAGCCGGCTTCTTCACCAAAGACTAAAGATTCCTGATCATTGGGAAACTTTCGCATAGTTTTTACTGCCACTCGACCATCACAGCTTTGAGTTACTCCTAGGAGAGTACCGCGGACGTTGGCTACATTTAGTTTGAAGTGTATGGTAAGTCAATAACGTGCTGTTGCTGGGAACAAAGTCATTCCTTTCACCCATTAATCGTCCAGTATGATCGAGGAGGCGGTGATAGTAATATAATTAGTTAGACTATGTAGACCCAGAAAGAAAAGTGAACAGATGAATAATTAAATTTATTGATTTAAACTTAGATGAATAGATGTAGTAGTCATATGTGTGAAGCAAGGGATACCGAGCAGTGTTAGAGTATACCTTAGGACCATGCCCATTAATAGAAGTTAGTATGTGGGTTTCAAGTGGATAGTCTGTTAGATCACTTTCCTTGTGTTGCTGCATGATTATCCAGCCCCTCTTGATGCTTTCCACATAGGGTGAATTAGCTGTAGCTGCTGGCAAAGAGCTTCAGTGGTCGGAAGGCACCAGAGTCTTTCCTCCTTGATTCGAAGTCATTCCTTGGTTGCTATGAGGAACTTCGTTATTACTAAGTGATAGAATACCTTTGTTTGGATAATAATAATAATTTATATTTTCATATAAACATCAATTTACATGAAAATGCAGGCCATTTTTACAGGCACGATCAAGTATGATATAATGCCAAATAGTAGATTGTCTACAAGTTAATGTTCGAACAGCTAAATATTTGATATATATATATAAATACATTCATTGTCTGACCCATGTATCGTTATTGAATTAAACAGCGGTCCTCCAGGTTGCGCAGGAAAATCGACTTCGTTTCGTTTTCAACCCGTATTTGTAGGCATATGATAACCAACCAATATTGAGGTGAGTACAACGTTTACAAGGGATAGTAAGATTATCACTTTTTTTAAAAGTTCAAATTGTTGAATTATATAGCATAAGCAATCGGAACAGATTCTTATAATTGTTAATTTGTAAATCTTTCACGAGGGTCTCCATCGAAGTTGAGCGACAACCCATACTTCTTTCCATTTCCTGATGATGATAGTAATGGCCCATCGATAAACAATATATATATATATATGATTGAGTACTGTGACCCCACGTGCTTGAACGCCATATCAGTAAGAGGAGAAAATCCTGCACAGCTACAAGGTGGTATAAAATGCAATCGTGAATAATACATTATTGGAAGCATATTTACAAGAAAAATACAAGAATAAGTTATACAGTACTTGATATGATAGTGCACATTTGCAATGTATGATGCTAACCATATTAGTCTTACCATGGAAAACTATGACGTTTTCTATGAAAATAAAGTTATTCTCAAACATGAGTGTTGTTTTTTATCTTCATGAACCATACTTTATGCGAGAGAAGAGTGTAAGCGGGAAAAAGGAAAAAAAATAAATTTCAGATTTAATAAAGTCCTTGAAAGTCGAGATAAAATAGAGTATAATAGTAATTAGGTAGAAGGATTATCGTGAAGTATATAAGTGACATTTCAGAGAGAAGTGGCTTGAAGGATTAGAACCTGTTGAATATGGTGGCCTGTAGGATGTCTGGTGAAGTTGTGTATGGCCCATGGGGTAGCATCTTGACAAGAAACTGAGCAGGCTTGTAGATGTTAGGAGCGAAAGCATTATTTTTTTACAAGCTTAATCTGTACAGTCATTACTGTTTTAGTTTTTTTAATTTTTTTAAGTCTAATTTTTTTATACATTCAGTATCTAAACTCATGTTTAATTCTCGAGCTGCCAAAATAACGCATGTTGCTGTCCTACAGATCGAAGAGATTCACATTTGTGACCACTACCGAATCTGCTGATCAGCATGCGCCAGCCTCCCTCCTTTGGTATAGAGTCAGTGGGATCTGAAATGCAGCTGTCAGCATATTTTCGTTGTTTCATAGATATCCAGGTTTATAGGCGCTGGATAGGTTGTGATTTGGATTTGATATTATGATCGTCATTTGGTTGAATATTCAAATGTGTGGTACATTTTGTTTGCCTTCCGGATTTAGTTAATTACATCTCGTGTTGGGTTCGATTACTCTGCGATTTTGACATATTCCACAGTGTCGCCGTGATGATGGGAAGTATGCATATGCTCTAAATGCATTACTTTGTTGGCTACTACCTCCACTGAGTGTATACAACGGGAACTGTGGATTTATGTATTCCCTCACCACTGTGCATGAGTGCACTAAGACTGTCTAAATATGAATTTATGCCGGTGGCAAGAGTGCTTTACCGAGTGACTTTCTTCAGATGATGTCTCGAATTTGAATGCAGGCGCATGTTAAATTCACCAATTTTGAGGTGTTGTTTACCTGTAGCGGTGTGATGGGAATCTTAAGACTGCATTTAGGGAAAGTACAAGACTAGACTTTGTTCGGTAAATAAATTCCGTCAGTTCGCTTATTGTCAATGTATGATTAATCTGGGAAGTCAGGGTCAGTCTTTCTTTATCCTCCCACACCATCCTCCTCTTGATGATCTATGGTTGTATCTGGAAGTAAGAGGAAATACGTTAAGGACCACATCAAATGAATAACATAAAATTGTTAGAAAGACTAGTGACAAAAGTTGTCAAGATGAAAAGTTAACACCTATGAAGGCGGAAATGGCGAAATTCACGAGGGAGTGGAGAAGAAAATTTACCTTTTGTGCTAATAAAGTTCACTTCACCGACATCCTGTTGCTTCTGCAGTTATTGTTTGGTCTTGTTGTTCCACCGCAACGCCATTTTGACACACAAGTGGATGTTTCCGCTCTTCCAGTAAGATCTCCATAACTTGCTCCTAGTGTCAAGCGGTATTCTATCTGAATGTCTCTAGGTCTTGTACACACGCTCCGTTCATGTGATCTATACCAAAGGCCCTCTGCCTCGGTATTAATCCAAAATTTGGAGCGGTGTTTCCAGAGTAAGATGGCACAATCATTTATTTCGTTGGATTCGCATAAGGTGTCCACAGCCTGATCACTTAACATAACTCCAAATGTTACATGCAAATTTGTCAGTTTTGGTGATAACATATTATTATATAAGTTAGTAGAAGACTACAAACTTCATATACGGTGCTCGAAAATTGTACTTATGTTGCTTAAATCCAGAAATTTCAAATTCAGACGAAAAATAAAAAAATGATTAGATACAGTGGTGAAAGAGCTGTGCAATAAAGACAAGAAGTGGATAGGATAATGAGTAACTAATAAGTTGAGCAACAAAGTGGCGAGTTCAACTCGGATCACAGAAACTGGAAACAAGCAGAGTTACATTGTGGCGACAGGAAAGAGATCAATGCTGGAGATGATAATGATGGTAATATTAATGATTTGCTTCATTCCCAAACAGTTATTATGATTTTTTATTTTTATTTTTTTATATCTTGATTACAGCTTGATGCCACACCGTATTTTCAGTACAAGTATGACATTTTCAGCATGGATATCGGTAGCCCAAATTTTGCAGGCTGACCATAGATATCGGGTGTGCGTCGGTAGGGGTTCGAACCCCGGACCATGTGCATGGTCGGCGAGAGTCCTGACCACTGTGCCACCGACGCATTGAAGTCTCAGCATTCCATACAGCAATGCAACTAGTTTACTCTGCATAGCAAAAAAGACAAAAAATAACACTGCAGGGTATACGTAACCAGAATTAGTAATAGCAGCGACAATAAAGTCAAAAATGCACAAAGAGTGTGAAATGATGATAATAATGTCAATAGCTAAAACTGTAAGGTAGTTGAAATAGTGCCATTGATAATAATTTGCTTTATTCCAAAATCAGTACTAATGATACAGCAAGGAATTTTCAGCATTCAGTACAATATTGCATCTAATTACCTCGCGGTACGTTCGAATTTGGTGACACTTTTGCACGTGTTTTCGCTGATATTCATTTTTCAGTTCTGCTATATTATCACCAATAATAATGGGCAAAAACTCTAACAAGCGTGTTCTTAGGAACACTAGTAATTTAGAAAATAGCTTAAGCTTATCTAGTAACTCATTATCACCCCTAAAATCAGCTGTAATTAGCAGTTCACCCAATACAAACGGTTCCAACATAATGCTACCACCTGTAATGCAGGTGGAAGATATCCTGTCAGAAAAGGTAGAGATAACTAACTTAGTCTGCATCATAAACGGCATGCAGCTACAAATAAATGACCTTAGGACGAAACTAAATCTACTTGAGCCGGTAGCAGAAACAATCTTCCATCTTAAAAAGGAACTGGGGGATCTCACTTTCCTAAAACTCTTTAAATTGAAGACTAAACCAACGGATGCTGAATTGGACCATGCTAAGGAGCTAGAGAACGCTATGGACTATCTGTCGAGCAAAGTTGTTAAGAGACTCGCTTCTAAACAGAACGCCATAGTGTACAAAATACCTGACAATGAGCCCATAAAGTCGGTTCAGCACTCCTTGTTAAGGGCTGCAAACCTCTTAAGTACACCCTGTCAGTGTATTAGACTAAATAAAAAAGAGCTAAACCGCACATGTCCCATACTTTTCAGGTTTGACAGCTGTATAATAGCAGAACAATTTAGGAAATCTGGGGATAATTTGGCCTCCACTACGAAATTCAAAAATGTCAAAATAGTCTCGGACAAAACCCCCAACCAACGACAAGTAGCTAAAAATACCTTAGATACGAACACGACTATACCACAAATCATGAATAGCATCAGTGCCG